TGGCAGATATCCACCAAACTTCGAAGGTACCTTTTTTCGCGACTAAATGATTTATGTACAAATTTCCTCGGCGTCCCCATTGGTTATCATGTTAAATTGATATCATTAGTATTACCTGGTACTAATAATGAACTAAAGATTTTACGAAGGACTGGATGGCCTGGCACATTCCACACCTGAAGGATTTTAAGACTTCTCGGTTTTAGGAATTGCCGAACTGTTTTGTGAGAAGGGTTCGGGTAATAAAATGCTCAACACACTTTTTGTTCAACTTGAAACTCTTCTTATGTGTACGAAAACAATGCCTTTTCAACCTTTAATATTTAATGAAGGTACACCCCGTACTGGGTGCGTCTTTTGGGCTATAAAATACGATGTCTGCGAGATAATAATATTTTGAAAGATCATTTAAAGGTAGAATAGAATGTGCGGATTTGTGTGATTTTCGAGAGAAGGAATTTGGACAGTCAATTTCTTTTCCACCAAATTCAAGCAGTTAGACTTAGAGCGCTATCCGTCATTCCGGCCACTCATGTTTTTTGTTAAATATTCATGCAAACTTGGATGTGCTCTACGATTTAAAGTCTTCACTGAACAGACGGGAAAAGAGCTGCCTGTATACTATTGTTTTATTAAATGAATGCGTTTTAGAAAATGTCTTCCATTGTGTTTATAATACGAACGGGGAAATAGTGATTTGCCTACCGTGTTGTGGCTTGAAGCACGATTGTAGTCTGGATTCGAGGCGGTATGCGACAATGTCAACATGCTTTTTTTGTTGTATACAGAGCAACAAGAACCAGGCACTAGACCGATGTCCCAATCCCGCACGTGCTATGCATACATACAGCCAGGCTGGGGAGCTGAGAAGGACGCCTGCGATGGAGGACCAAAGGAGGACTTGTGTGCCTGTATTACTGATGGACCCCGGCGCCGCTTACAAATAGGTTATGGAGAAGATGGCGAGGGCCCAGGAAAACCAGCCGATGATGATATCGATAGATTCTGTAGATTTGGTCCTGTAAGGTGAGTTTTTGCTCTTGTAGACGAACTGAAGAACAGTCATACAGATTGCAAATGCGTTTGCCAAGGAAAATAAGGTTTTCCTTCTGCTATTTGGGCCGTACAGAAATCTCTTGCATGAGCGGAATGGCACGAACTAATAATTTGAAAGTAATTTGAAACTCACTGCATTGTCTGCGTATCTCCAGTTCGACGTATGAATGTCCTACATCAACCCAGCCAGACTCAATAACACCCACGACAATGTCGACAACAACGACTGAGCCTCAAACAAGAACACCCACCAATGTAGCATACAGCACAACCAACACAGCCACAGCAGGTAGGACGCTGACACGAACACCATCGACAAGGACAAGGTCAACGATGACAATTTCTCAAGCAATGAGGAGCAGTGTGACGTATCAAGGAGAGTATCTGTTCACACCCCGCTATCGGTCCGCCTCTTGACTCTAACTTCTATTCTAATCAATGAAAGACGTTTTCACATCGGATCTTAAGGCCAAACAATTTGAAAGTAGATTGTTGATTTGATTCTCGACATCCATCAGTCTAGGATGAGAAAGGTCCTTAAGTGTTGCCCACTTAAGAAAGACATCCAACCAAAACTCCTCCGTCCCCAAACGTTTGGCTGATAAAATTGATTTCAGACTTGTATCAAGGACGAAGGGCCAAGAATTTTGTTGCAACATAAAAACGCCATCACAATACTCTACTTCACTTGAATTGCAGTTCACAATAGTAATAAAGATGGCAAACGATTTTAATTTAAGTACTTTGCGTCGGGCGGGGAGCACTGAGTATACAGTTGTAATTAAGATGACAGACATTGTCATATTTCGATGTAAAGATTTTAGAAACGTTTTGAAAATGAAAGTTGGCTTCATTTTGTCCAATTTTTGAATATGCGGTGAGCACGTCCTATTATTTCCAATGTTTGTT